TAAGTATAATTATAATGTCTTGGTCCGATTTTTGGTAAGTGGGTAATACTGTTCACATAGAATGAATTAGGAAGTATTTCCTCCTAATCTACTTCTAAAGGAGCGTTTGTGAAGAATTGGTGTTTGACTTTAAAATGTTTGGTAGAATTCCCCAGTGAAGCTGTCTGTATATGGGTAGTTTTAAAATGACTAATTCAGTCTCTTTACATACAGGACTGTTCATATTTTCATTTTCTTCTTGAGTCAGTTCTGGTAGTATCTTTTTAGAAAGTTGTCAGTGTTATCTAAGTTATCTAATTAGTTGGCATGCAGTTACTCATTGTGTTCCCTTATAAATCCTTTTTGTTTTTGTAAAATGGTATCCCATCTTTGATTCCTGATTTTAGTAATTTGATCATTCTTTTTGGCTTAGTCTAGCTAAAAGTTTGTTAATTTTTGGTTTCATTAATTTCCTCCATTGTTTTTATATTCTCTATTTCCGTGATTTTTGCTTTAGTACTTAGTCATTTCCTTCTATCCACTTACTTTATGTTTAGTTTGCTCTTATTGTTTACCAATTGTTTAAGGCGAAAGCATGGATTACTGATTTGAGGTTTTCTTCCTTTTTAATGTAGGCATTTATAGCATGTTAAGTCTCTGAGCACAGCTCTAGCTGCATCCCATCGTTGTGGTATCTTGTATCTTCAATTTCTTTCATCTCAGTGTGCGCTAATTTCTTGTCCAGCTACCTGTTCATCGCATGAATACCTTTTTACACTACCTCTGACAAATGGACATTGCACTTTTGCTTAAATAGTTACTGTGAGGAAAAGTTGACTACTTTGTAACGTAGCCGTAGCCAACTCGTTTCCAAACACCTCAATGTATCCAGCACTTTCCTGTAAAACTCTGTGTGTTGTTCTAGGTTATTTCTTTTGAACTTGCTCCAAATTAGCCTAGTTTTTATCCATAGGATAGTTCTCCAAATATGTAAACATTATTTTCACTTCTCTAAGGCTTTCTAGCTAATCGCATCCCATGCTATAAACTGTTCCCTAAATTTATGGTATTATTAACATGTTCTTCATAATCTGTTTACCCTTTTTTAAAATTAGTATTTTTTTAAAATTTGATATCTCAAAGTAAGCATTAATGCTCTAGAACAGGAGTCAGCAACCTCCTTATAAGGGCCAGATGAAAATATTTTGGATTTTGAGGGCTATTCAGTGTTGTCCCAACTAACTTAACTCTGTCATTTTAATGTGAAACCAACATGTACAATGTGTAAATAATAAGTATGACTGTTCCAAAAAATTATTTTTACAAAAACAGGTGGCTAGGCCATATTTTGCCCATTGATCATAATTTGCTGACTCCTGCTTTAGATGTTCTCTAACCAGTGCAGAACCTAGTGCGATTATATTTTCATTTGTGAATGCTATTGCATTAATGTATTTTGAAAATTATATTAAAATATTTTGATGCCCTGGCTAGTGTAGCTCAGTGGATTGAGCACGGGCCTGTGAACCAAAAGATCGCGGTTCGATTCCCAGTCAGGGCACATTTGTGGGTTGCAGGCCAGTTCCCAGCAGGGGCCAGTTCCCAGCAGGGGATGCACCAGAAGCAACCATACATTGATATTTCTCTCCTTCTCTCCTTCCCTTCCCTTCTAAAGAAAAGTAAATAAAATTTTAAAAATATTTTGAGAAGACACTATTCAATATTCGTATCTTTGTTTATCTAAAGCTAAGTGTTTTTCCCCTCTAGTTTCCTGCAATGTTTTTTCTTCATCTTTAATTTTCTGAAGTTTAAATATGATATATTTAAGTATAGTTTTTTTGTTTATTTGTCACAGTTTTTCTGTTTTGTGTTTTCTCAGTTTTCTGGATTTGTAGTTTAGTGTCTAACATTAATTTGAGGATTTTTTTTAGTCATCGTTGCTTCTATTTCCTCTCTTCCTTCTTCTGGTATTCCCATTACATAAATTACATGTATGTTATACCTTTGTAGTTGTTTTCATAGTGCTTGAATATTCTGTTATTTTTCATCTTTTTTCTCTTTGATCTTCAGTTTTAGAAGTTTCTATTTATTGACTGTCCTTACTCTGAGATTTTTTATCCCTCAGCCATGTCCTGTCTACTGATTAGTTGATCAGAGGTATTCTTCAACTCTTTTATAGTGTTTTTGATCTCTAGAATTTCTTTTTTATTATTTCTTAGACTTTCCATCTCTCTGCTTACCCTATCAGAGAAGAATTGCTGATATTTCATGTGAGAACCTGGTAGAGCTCCTAGAACTAAAATTCACAAAAGTGTGGGGACCCCCTTACCCCATGACCGGGTTCCTCTGGAGTTTTTCATTCTCAGAATTGTCCGTACTGAGTCTCCAGCAGCTCGACAATTACAGTTCAGATTTTCCTATCCCAGTTCAGGTTCCCGTGCAGGTTTCAGCTCTGGTAAGTTATGATTCTCTGTCTCTATGTCTCCAGTTTCAGGAGTAGAGGTTTGCCTTGTGACCTCATTTCTGTGATAGATCTAAGAAGTGCTGATTTTTCAGGTTGTTCAGGTTTTTACTCAGTGTTAAGATGGAGTAGTAACTTCTTAGCTCCTTAAATGCTGGACCAGAAACCAGATATTTTCTTCTATGAGTTTTCTCCTATAAAGTTTTACATTTTTCCTTTAGATCTTTAATTTATTATGAGTTAATTTTTATATTTCATGTGAGATAAGGATCAAGACTGATTTTCTCTTTTTGCATAAAGCTATCCAGTTATTTATGGAACAGGTTATCGTTTTCCATTAAATTGCTTTTACTTTTATATACTTGAGCATGTATAGTGGGCCTATTTTTGGACTCTAGTCTATTTTACTGTTTTATCTGTTTATATCCTTTCTCGTTACCACTCTAGCTTTGTAGTAAATCTGGAAATGGGTCATGTGAGATCTACTTTGGTTTTGGTTTGACTCTTCTGTTTTCTTTGCTTCTCCATATAAAATTTAGAATTACCTTGTCAATTTTTATAAAAAGAAAAATCCCGCTAGGATTTTGTTTGGAATTGTATTGAATCTATAGAGCACTTTGGGAAACATCTTAAAATACTGAGTTTTTCAATTCATTTAATAAACATGGGATTATCTCTCAGTTTGATTAGGTCATCTTTGATTTCCTTTATCAGTGTTTTGTAGTTTCTGCATACAGATCTTACACGTAATTTTAAAGATTTTTACTTAAGTATTTTATACTTATGGGTGCTATCCTAAATGTACTATTTTAAATTGCAATTTCTAATTTCTCTAATATATATAAATATGATTAATTTTTGTACTTTGACTTGCAAACTGCAACCTTGCTATACTCACTTACTAGTTCTAGTAGATTTTTTGAAATTTTTGTATTTTTTACATAATCATAATGTCTATAAATATTTTTAAAATGTTAGTTTTTACTTTTCAAGGAAAAGTGTTAAGAACAAATCTCCTTGCCTTTTTCTGATCTTGGGAGTACAAGGGGGATGAAGCGCTAAGCATTCAGTGTTTTATTAAGTGTCAGCTGAAAGCTTTTTGTAAATACCCTTTATAAGATTGAAAGAGATTCCCTCTATTCCTAGTTATGGGAGAGATGTTTTAATCACAAATGATTGTTAAGTTTTGTCAAGTGTTATTTCTTTGTCTCTTTGAGGTAGTCATTTGTTTTTTCTTCCTTATTTGGTGAATTGCACTGATTAATTTTTGAATGTTGAATTACCCTTGCATTCTCAAAATAAACTCAACTTAGTTATGAGTTCTTATTTTATGTATTGTTTGATTTGCTGTCCTTTTGGGGGGATTTTTGCATGTGTTTTATAAGGTGCACTGATCTGCCGTTTTCTTTAGTATGTTTTTATGTATTTTGAGTAACTTGATAGGCTTCATTGAATGAGTTGGGAAGTATTTCTTGTTTTCCTACATTTCTGAAAATTTTATATAGAATTGGTATTATTTTTTCCCTAAGTGTTTAGTAGAATTCACCATGACTTCATCTCAGCCTGTAGATTTCTGTATTGCAAGGTTATTAACTACATAGTCAGTTTTCAAAGTGGATTTAAGATTATGCAAATTACCTTTTTTAAGATAAACTTTGGCAGTCTATATACTTCAAAGAATATGATTATTTCATCTAAGTTATTAAACTTAGGATATGGAGTAGTTTATTTCTGTATTATTAGTTCAGTGTCTATAGGATCTATAGTGGTGTTCTGTCTTTAATTCTTGATATTTGTAACTTTTGTCTTTTTTTAAAATCAGTCTAGCCAGAGGTCTATAAATTTTTAAAATCTAATAGTTACCGCAAATACTCATTACATATCATACATCTTTTAAAGAGCTTTCTTTATATTCTACTGAGTATCCAAGAATCTATAGCATATTTTTTCTTTGTTATCTGCTTTGATAGATGAATGTAATGAGGCCTTGCTGTATTATGGAACATGCCTACTATATAATAGCCAAAATGACAAATCGAGGATTCAAATCCAAGTCTAGGTGACTCCAGCGACTTTGTTTTTGACTGCTCTGCTTTATTGACTGGTATAAAGGTTGAATTAAAATCAGAGAAGTCATGTGAAGGAAGTCCTCTGTGACTGGGAGCACACTTTTCATTTTCATCATTGGACTGTAATGTCTACTGTCCTCTTTCTTTTGATCCTGCAGTATATAATGCAAAACCTCTTGTCATAAGATCTCTGGAGATCTGTTTGCTCCTTCTAAAAGTTAAAACCACTACTACCAAGAAGAGAGAAATTTTGAAGGCATCTGCTTGCCACAAAATACTTAGTAATACCTGTTAGGTTTTCAGAACATGGGATATTCTGATGGCAGTCTGAACAGTTGTCCTCATGCCAGCCATTTTGGGTAGACTACAAATAAAAGCCTTGACTCCATGCCCTTTTCTTCCCCTTTAAAATGTAGGCATTTATTTCCCTTCATAGGTATAAGATAGTGCTTTTGAAAATAAAAGCTGACACAGCTTGCTTGTTTCCTTAGGTCTGACAGTAACTGCTGTAAAGGACTCAGGAGAATGGAATTTGGAGGCTGGGGCGTTAGTGCTTGCAGATGCAGGCCTGTGCTGTATCGATGAATTTAATAGCCTCAAAGAGCATGATAGAACCAGTATCCATGAAGCCATGGAGCAGCAAACCATAAGTGTTGCTAAGGCTGGGTAAGAGTTTCTTTTCTTTAAAATCTATGGGAGTTGCGAGATTAGTTAATATATGATTATGGAAAAATGTGAACCTTATTGAACTGTAAGGTGTGTTGGGTCTTCTTAGGCACTGGCAGTTATCACCCTTCAAAATTCCAAGACACACATTAATTTTCCCTCAGGGGAGTGTGAGGAAAGTAAAAATGTGTTGTTGAGAAAAAGAAAGAGAAAACTAAAGTGTTAATGTAAGTTGATTTATTTTTTTTTTAGAAGAGAGAAAGCTCTCTGAACACTTTTTTTAAAACTTTAAGACTTTTATTTATTTATATTTACAGAGGGGAAGGGAGGGAGAAAGAGAGAAATATCAATGGGTGGTTGCCTCTGGGGCACCCCCTATTGGGAGCCTGGCCCGGAACCCAGGCATGTGCCCTGACTGGGAATTGAACCAGTGACCTTTGGTTCGCAGTCCAGTGCTCAATCCACTGAGCCACAGCAGCCAGGGCAAGTGTAAGTTGATTTAATTCATGGAAGGGACTTTATTATGTTAGGAATTTTGAAAAACTTGAAAAGAGAAAACGTAATATCTACTTTCAGTGGCATTCTCCTTACATATTTTTTCCTAATATATCTTAATGGAAGGTTGATCACAGCATATGGAAAACTAAATAATAATATATATTAGCATAAGATGAAGTACTGTTGTGACTCAAGGAGGTTCGAGGTATGTGAGTCCTTGGCCACACATAACCAATGAGAGAGAAAAATAGGCAGGTTCAGATAGAAATCCAGGCCCTAATGTGGTTGTGGGAAATTTATTTGGCAACAAAGTTTGGCCCTTAAGCAGTCTGCCAGGTCATCCAAGTAAAAGACAGAGGCTGAACTATCTTAGCCCTAATGCCACTGTTACAGGTTTGAAGCCAGCTGATCAGACAATTAGGGCTGCCAGCAGAGTCTTCAAACAGTAATAGTTACTGGGGAGCCAGACAGATACTGATGTTAATAGATTTTATGAGCAGTATTATAGACACTCACAAAAAGGGAAAGGCAGGGCAGGGCGCAAAGTAAAAGCAGGCTATAGCACAGAGGAAAAAGATACAAGGAAAAGTAGACAGAACTGTTTTCAGATGTATTCATTTAATTCCATACATATTCACTCAGTGTGTATTTATCAAAAGACAGAAAACTGTACTTAAAAAATAATTAAAGTTTTAAAAAAAGAGCCTGCTGTATGTATGCCAGGCACTGTGCTAGACAGTGGGAAATACAAAGATGAATACAACACTATCCTTGAAGTGTTTACTGTTTTGTTGGGAAAGATAGATACAAGAGTGCCAACGTGTTAAGTCCATAATAAAAGTATTATGAGAGAACAGTCTTTAAAATAATTATTGCTTCAAAACTACTGAGCAGGGGAAATCAGAGATAATACTTTACTAAGTGTCTTCAAGGCTGCTTTCTGTTCTCATTATATCTCCATTTAATTAGTACTACTGCTAGTTAGTAGCCTCTGATTTATTTTGGTATATACCTTTTCCAGAGGAAATCAGGGACATTTTGAAAGAATCCTAAATAATTAACCTTGGCATAGGGAAAATTGAGAGAAATGCTATTGAGTGTATTTTAGAAAAAGAGAACATTGACAGTGCTATATGATAGGCTACAGAATAAATCTTTATAAGTGAAAATGTTTTATTAACCACTGCTATTGCCTCTGCCCTCTATAAGTATGAATTAGTATGCATCTTCCATGCTACCTGTAAGTGTGTGGTAAGTTCCAAAAGAAATGTTCTTGTAGATGAAGAGCGAGCGCTGACAGCACCCACTGTGTGGACCGTCTCATCATAGCTAGAAGTACTTTATGCACTGGAACAATGCTTTTCACACTATTTATGGCAAAGGGCTAGTTTTAATACTTATTTTTCACTTTATCACAGAGCAATACTTTTATAAAATAGAATAAATTATTTTTAAAATAAAAAGGCAAAAAGATATAAAATATAAGCCTAAGTTTTTTATTCACTTAGGATGGAGAAAGCAGTAAGGGGATGTCACTCCCATTCTAACAAGAAAAATCCAGGTAGCCCACAGAAATCATAACTTTCTTTGAACTTATTAGAGACCTGAATTTACAAGGAAATTAAGGGAACTTCAATCCGTTTTCCACTGGTCTCCACCAGATGCTCACAAGGATTGGGCAGGGCAGAAGATCAGAGACTCTCCCCTGCCCTCATCCGCCCCACAAGCCCGAGAGATGATTGCTGCTGGGGAAGAAGTACAAAAACCCTGCTGCTTCCCCAGACACATCACTCAAATGGAGCAAACACTGAAGTGACGGGGGGGCAGGCCCACAAACCGTGTCATTCCCAGGGCCTCTGGGAGAAGGGTAGAAGCAAAAAACCCCTCTGCCTCAGGAGGAAGTTAGAGAACCTTCCTTCTACCCTGCAGGAGCCAGGCAAAAAGGTACTGCTTCTGAAAGGGGGGTAGAGGCAAAAGCCAACTTTCCCCAAAAGAAGGGCAGGAAACACTCTTGGTTCCAGGATCCTGAACCCATATAAGCAGAGGCCTGTAGCATTGGGAAAGGGACAGAAAAAACACTCTTTCCCAAGAGCCAACACAGAGAGATGGCAGGGTTCAGCTGACACAGGTGGGACAGAAAGACTTGTAACTATCCAGCCTGTACCCTTTCAAAGCAGACACAGAGACCCTGTCTAAAACCAAGAGACCAAGAACTACCTTGGCCCCCAAATAAACCTAACCATGAGTAATAAGCAACAGTAGTCTGTTGCTGGGGAAGGTGCAGGAGTGTGAAAAGAGACTCCTCTGTGGTGCTAGTGTGCAGCGTCTGCTGAAAGCTGAAGGTAGAGCAGAAACACATAGAATAATCTTCCAGCACTTCACTACAATCCCCACACTAAGAACAAGGTAATGGCAGCTCAAACGTGAAAGAATTTTGCAGTCTGGTGCACTGAGTGTAAAGATAGCAACAATTCCAATATCCAGATCAACTGCAATGGCCTTAGGCTATACAGGAAGTGATTTAAAATTATTTGAAGGTAGGCTGTATTAAGTTATAGATGTAACTCCAGAACCACCACTAGAAAATAAAAGGCGTAACCAATAAACCAGTCCTAGAGATAAAATTGAGTAATAAATAATCCAAAAGAAGGAAGGATGAGGAGACAAAGGGAACAGTGAATAGATGGGACATACATAACACAATTAGCCAGATGATGGATTCAAATTCAATCGTATCAGTAATTATATTAGTAATAAATCAGTTAAACAATTAAAAGGCAGAGATTGTCAGATTGGATAAAAAGCAAGACAAGACTAAATGCTGCGCTCAAGAAATCGGCTTTAAATTCTAACACATAGGTAAGTTAAAAGTAAAAGGATGGGGGAAATTATTTCATGAAAGCACCAAACACCTGACCAAGACATTACAGGAAATAAAACTGCAGACCAATATGCCTGTGAATGTAGACACGAACATTCTTATCAATCCTGTAGCAGATCAATCCAGCAGTATGTAAAAAGGATTATACATTGTAACCAAGTGGGGCTTGTCTCAGGAATGCAGAGTTGCTGTAATATTTGAAGTCAATGTAATTCACAATATTAACAGAATAAGAAGAAAACCCATCCCAATAAATGGAGAAAAGTTGCAATTTGACAGAATTGTATTTAATTAGACAAAATTAAATATTCACTCATGATAAAAATTCACAGCTAACCACAAGAGAAGTCCCTCCTTCTGTTTAAATGTTAACAAGAAACATTTCATACTTAGTGATGAAAGACTGAATGTTTTCCACTTAAGAGTGGGAGTACTTCAAGCATGTCCATTCTTGTCCATTCTGGTAAGAATTCCAATAAAAGTAGTTTGGTAAGGCAAAAGAAGAGAGGGAGGGAGGAAAAGAAGGAAAGAAGTAAATCAGTCAAATTGGAAAGATAGAAGTTCAAATTGTCTACATTTTATATGACATCATCTACATAGAAAATCTGAAAGAATCTATTTAAAAGATACTAGGATTCAATTGATGCATAAAAATTCATTGTATTTAGGTATGCTAGACATGAACACTTGTAAACTGAAGTAAAAATACATTACTTTATATAATAGTTTCCAAAAACATGAAATATTTAGGGATAAAGTTAGCAAAATATATTGTAGATTTTTACAGTAAAAACTATAGACCACTGATGACAGAAATACAAGAGACCTAATAAATGGAAAGACAGATTGAGTTCCATTGATCAGAAGACTTAATATTGTTAAATGTTAAAGATTTTAGGTTCTTCCCAAAGTGATCTATAGAATCACTGTAATTTCAATTAAAGTCCCAACAAGCTTTTTTGCAGAAATTGACAAGCTGATTTTAAATTATATGTGGAAAAGCACAGGAACTAGAATAGCTGAAACAATTTTACAAGAGAATAATTTTGGAGGACTCGATTTATTTCAAGATTTAGTATAAAGCTACAATAATCAAAACAGTGGTATAGGATAAATATAGATCACTGGGAGAGAATATAGGTCCAGAAATAGAACCAAAGGTATAATAAAGCCAGCTGATTTTCAAGAATGATGCCAAGATAATTCAGTGGAAAAGGATGGTCATTTCTAAAAAATAGTGCTGATACTTAGATACCCATTTGTAAAAATGGCCTATAGATAAGCACCAGCTTTATTCTTAATCACCCAAGATTGTAAACAACCCCAAAATCCACCATTTGGTGAATGGATAAACACATTTTGATATATCCATACACTGGGATATAAATATAAATAAGCAATATAAAGGAACAAAGTATTGATACATTCAACAACATGGACGAGTCTTAAAAGCACTATGTGAAGTAAAATGCCAAAAATAAAAGACTACATAGTTTATGATTTTAAATTATTTTATATGAAATTCCAAGAGAGGCAAAACTATAATAAGGGAAATCACATGACCTATTATTGCAAGGGTTGGGGTCAGGGGAGGAGATTGACTGCAGAAGAACACCTAAAA